CCCTCATAAACCACTTTTCTACTATTTTCTCTACCTAAGGAGCTTTTCAACAATGGAGTTCAACGGATTTATTCTTCGTGATGGAAGACCGGGCGAAAGGCAACGGAAAATTATTCAGAGGCTTCAAAGTCGAGAAATCCTCTCGACTAGGTACGTCGACGATAACTGTCTGTATGCTTTGGGTATTTATCATAGTGTTTTTAATTTATTAGAATTTCTAGGCTTGCATAACATTTTCATTAATCAGGAACCTACCTATGAGAGGCTGACAACTGAGTTTTTGAGTTCTTTGATATACACTGTCAGTCCTGACACTGCTAGCACTGTCGGTACTGCTATTTTTAGACTGTTTGGAATTGAATATGAATTCAGTACCAATGAGCTAGCAGATTTGTTAGGAATCCCTCATAGGGAAGGTTCGATCTGTGAGGCACCTTTGGATGCTGAATGGTCGGCCGAGGTATTTACCTTCTGGCTAAGGCTTTCAAGTACTTCAATTAATTCTTTTGAAGGGATACTTGCGTCGACCATTCACAACCCGGCCATAAGAGTTTTTAGACTTCTTTTGGCATGTACTATTTTTGGCCGGGAAAGTCCAAACAAGGTTAATGCTCGTGAACTCTTATTTTTGCAAGGATGCCTCACTAGAACCCACATCAATCCGGTCCCGTTTATGCTTGCCCACATGACTTTATTTACTAATAAAACAGGACCGATTGTTTTTGGAGGGCTTGTTACGTCTATTGCTCGGGCTCTTGGCCTGAATGATGAGATAGCTACACTTGAACCACTACCTCCTCGCACAATTAATTTAAAATTTCTGAAAGACATGAAATTGTGCCGAACAAGGAGAGAAGGTGGTTATGAGTTGATGATTCATGGGGTAGCTATCCCATCTGTTGCTTTACCATGCAGTAGACGTACTGATGTACGTGATGAAAGGAACTGGACCTATGATCTTAATGCTCCACGTGTTTTGGGTCCACTTCCTCCTAATATTCCCGATGGGGAGGCACATGACACTGATGATGAGTATGATCGGAGAGAGCAGTCTCCCATCCCTCACGTGTCCCCCCATCGTCCTTCACAGTCACACACTGCACCATCTTCCTCTAACCCTGTTGCAGGTACTGCTCCTGGATTCTTTGTCACCGAGGAGATGTGGCGTGATATGACAGCTAGAGAGGAAAGGCGTGATGGCCTTCTCTCTACTATTTCACAACAGCTGACGGACAATATGAACTTCATGCAACAATCGCGATTGGTTTCGGATCGTTCCTATAGCAACGTTTGCCGTACCTTGAACGCTATTTCATTAGAGCAGAACCGTCAGAGAGAGTTCAACGGCCGACACTACCAGCTTGTAGAGGCTACTCAGGGTTCCATCTTGGGTAACCTTCGAGAGGTCCGGAGTGCTCAGGCTGCTTTATCAGCACGACTCGACCGGAGGGACCAGCATCGTAGTAGATCCCGTCGTTCCAGACCATCACATCAGGACGGCGAAGGCACCAGTGCCCCTCCTCAGTAGTCTTTTTCCAGGTTACCCCCCTTATCTTATTTCGAAACATTGGGGACAATGTTCGATTTAAGTGTGGGAGGGGATTTTATTGCTTTCTGTTATTTCCCTTTTTAGTTAATTTCCTTTCAGTTATTTCCCTTTTCAGTAATTTATTTTTCTTAGATAATGCATGAGTCTGACGAGTCACCAGTATAGTGTCTTTTTAGTTCATCTTCATTTTTTCCCATTTCCTTAGCCTTACCAGAAAATTTTTAAAAAGAAAACAATGTTGTTTCACATGTTTTTTGGGCTTTGAGACAGGTTTAGATTAGGATGTGGTGACTTAGGTCAACTTTTTGAAACATCAGAACCATTTTAGCACCATAGACCTCTTGAATATAGGAATCACTCCTAAACCCCACCACCATGGCCTTTACTATCATTCAAAAATTGTCCTAAGTAGTTTATTTTAGCAATCAGCTTCGGCCTAAGCATACTCTACGTAGGGGGCCGATGAATATAAGTGAATGATCCAGTGCTAATAAAAAAAGAAAAAAAAAGGCAAACTCTGGTATAGGTGACCCTCACAAAGTCATTTAAACCGAAAAAAAAAGAGAAGAAAAAAAATTTTTTGCCACAAAAAGAAAAAAAAATTGCAAGTCACCTATTGTTAGTTGGTTCAGAGGTATCTGGCACTGAACTTGGTAGGGCAGATTACAATCCGATCCCCCGCAGCTACATTTAGGCGAAATAAAAACAGGTTTACACATGCTTATGTGCCAGAAACCTTATGTTATGGATCAGAATCACTAACCGGTCACTCTACTATGAGGCATGTACGGATAACGGGCTTAATGTGATTGCGCCTGAATGAAAAGGACACAAAAAGATGAGAAGATAGGCCTAGGTATCGTGGGATGACATGGAGTGGTTAATATAGGATTGAAGTCTGTGTTTGTGTTACTATGGTACCCTTGGTTCACTTAGTTAGTATCTGTCACTGCATCCTGACTTGAACTTAGAATCCCTTTAGCCCAAAGACAAGTGTTGACACCATATTTTCTTAAGCTTTAATGTTTGCTTGAGGACAAGCAAAGGTTTAAGTGTGGGAGAATTTGATCACACTAAAATTCACCGTATTTCTGACTCCGATTTCGCATGCATTCTTAGCTTTTATTGTTGTTTTGCTTTGTTATTGCTTTGTTTTCTTATGTTTTCAGGTTTTTATAATAATCGGAGCTGGAATCGGGAAAAGGAGCGAAAAAGGAGTGAAAACGGACGAAAACCTAAAAATTCAGCATTTTGCACTTACGGCACCCACTGTGGCGGGCGCCATGGGGTTAGCCATGACGTGGCCACGTCTCAAGACCACTCCTCAACCTCCAAGACCCACGATCCCCACTACATCATCCCCTGTAGGGACCGTGGCGGGCACCATAGGCCTGTGGCGGGCGCCACAAGGCAAAAATCCTCAACCTCCACTTTTTAGTGGAGGGGCGTCCCGGTCATTTCGCGCTTCCAGTTTCTCCTATAAATAGGACCTTAGATTTTCGTTTTTCTTCATCCAGAATTAGAATTCTCTAGGCATATATCAGTTATAAAGCAGTTGCCATTCCACATCGGGGTGCCTCTGCAATCGAGTGATCGAGTCTGTAATCTGTCTGTGGTTCGAGTTTTGGAGCACTCTGGAGGAAGTTAATCCTGCCGCCATTTTAATTCCAGTTAGTATTTTATTTTTCCGCATTGCTTTACTTTTATTTATTTTCTCGCACTTTACCTTGTTTATTTCCCGCACTCGCACATTTACGTTGTTTATTTCCCGCACTCGCACATTTACGTTGTTTACTTCCCGCACTCGCACATTTACGTTGTTTACTTCCCGCACTCGCACATTTACTTTGTTTACTTCCCGCACTCGCTTTAAATTACTCATATGAAAAACTATAAAAAGAATATTTACTTTATCATGTCTAACTAATCCCCTAAAGGTTAGAATGTAAGGATCGTAATTAAACCAGTAATCAGTATAATTGTTCGTGGAAACACCTAAGGGCTATTCACTACAAGAAAATAGGCAAATTGCGACGGTTCATTTTGACATATTACGACGGTTTTAACCGTCGCAATTTGTAAGTTACGGCAATTTCAACCCCGTCGCAGAAATGTGCGTCGGGAGGCCGTATTGCGACGGTTGTGAAAACTGTCGTACAAATCGTCGTTATTTTCACGACGGGTAGCTAACTGTCATAATCTCCATATTGTGACGGTTTTCAACCGTCGCAATTATATTTACTAATTCTAAATATTATTTATTTTCACGGCGGGTAGCTAACTGTCGTAATCTCCATATGGTGACGGTTTTCAACCATCGTAATTATATTTACTAATTCTAAATATTATTTATGCTAGTTGCGACCGTTCAAACCGTCGTAATTTTATCTATAAATTATTTTTATAATATTCTATTTTTATTTAAATTACTTTCATCTCATTTTTTTTATAATAGTTTTTTTAATTTAAATTATTATTGTTTTTTGGTAATATGTCAAATATATAAAGACTCACGTATATCAAATATATAAAGACTCACATATAACACATATATAAATTTATATAACTTAAAAAACAATTGATATTTCATTATATCACTTTTCTAAATAACTTATGAATATCATTATAAATTTATATAACTTATGAATATCATTATATCATTATATAACTTATGAATATCATCATAAATTTATATAACAATTTATATAACTTATGAATATCATTATATTATTATGAATTTATATAACTTAAAAAACAATTGATATTTTCTACTAAATATATACTTATGAATATCTAAATGATCAAATGTCATAATTTATAACTTGATATATACAATATAATCAATATAATTGTACAACCTATGATGATCCAAGATATTCTACCCAATTTTCCACACCAAGTGATGATCCAAGATTTTCTACGGATGGTTGAAGAAATCTTTGGTATGATTTTGCCTTAGAGGATAGACATGAACATCTAGAAAAGCTTAAACATTACTTCCAGTTAGCACCAATAAATAAAATCACTTGTGGTCTTCTAGTATCATCATGAGCCCTTCATAATCAGTTTTGTAGTCTTCTAGTTGTTGCTAATCTTTTGGCTTCACACGCTCTTCCAAAAGCAAAACTTCCTCAAGTTGTGTAGGGTATTCTGGTAGCTTTTTGTTTGAAAAACACTTGTATTTGTTAAGAATAAGAATAAGAATGTTTTACTCCTTCAAATGTCACAGCAAAGACTAAGAATATGCTCCCCACCGATAAGCTTTTTTATCTGAAGGAACCATTCTATTTCATATTAGTACCATGCCCACACAGAAATTGCAGGTATGCATTTAATATCTGCATGCATAGTGATGTCGGTTGTTATTGTTGTTATCTATACAAAAGAGATTTAAGATAGAAACAGCAAGGAAGACGCAACTATTAAAAAAAGTTTTAGATATATACCAAATTTACCGATCGAGGAATTCACAACAAACCTTATCCAGCTTTCCAAGATCCAATCCTTCATAGTTTTTCAAGATAAGGTGTGGTGGCATTGTAAATCTGTATAAGAACAAGCCATTGGCATATACATCTTAAAACATAATATTTATCAATTCAACTATGTTGAGCTATGCTAAATTTAGCAGAAAGATTATCCAAATGATTCTCAACCTGTTTTTAATATCAGCTTCCTTGCAACCAAGAATTGGAGTGTCCACTGTAAGCGCAATTGCCTTGAAACCGGCAGATTCAGCCCTTCTCACAAGCTGAGTAACCACATTTCTGTCTTTAAGCACCTAAGAGAATAAAAGAAAATAACAACAAGAGAGACATGTGACAGACACATCACATGGAAAAAGAATCATGAAATAAGAAATGAGGGCAATATACTCACGTAGAGTTGGAAAAAGCAAATGCCGGGTCCAGTTGAAGCAATCTCATCAACACTGGAAGTAGCCCACGCGGATAGTGTCTGTAACAAAAAAAAACAACGAAATGTTCAGATGAAACTAATTAGGATGGAAATATTTACAGGGAAAAAATATAGTTGATGTTTGAGAACAAATATGATGGAAATCACACCATGATTGTTCCAGAATCTGATGCTGCCCTAGCAGTAGCATATTCTCCTACGCAAAAATACTGTCATTAAATTATATATAACAACAAGAAAATACATGATACAATGTAAATAATATGCTTAATACAGACCAATGAATTTAATGGCATTATATACCTTCAGGGTGAGCCATCTTTTGCATAGTTGTAGGAGGAATCATGATAGGCATTGATATATCAAATCCTAACACATTTGTTGTTAAATCTATCTTGCTTACATCCCTAAGAATTCGTGGCCTGAACCTGTTTTCGGTGAACATAGATACTGAAATAAGGGATTTAAAATAACACATAAGATTAAATTTAAAGGCTTTAGGAAACAAAGTAGATTACAGAATACACTAGCCCATGGAATCAACCTTCCAGCACATACATTGGTGATTAAATCAACACAACACTTTAACAAGGAAAAAGGTCTTTACATGGAATATGACCGCTCCACTATATTGCAGATGTCAGGAAGGGAAGGCCGACCACCATTTGATGATACAGGCATGGTTATAATCATGACAAGGAGAGAAACGGTTCATCTCTATGAGAACCTCTTAAGTGGGTGTGAACTAGTGGAATCACAATTACTCTCTTGTGTGACAGAGCATTTACTTGCTGAAATAGCTCAATTGACAGTAACTGATATTACAAAAGCAATTGAATGGATGAAATGTTCATACTTGTATGTTAGAATGAAAAAGAATCCCACGAACTATGCTATTGAGAAAGGAATTTCTGATGGCCGTATAGAGAAACATGTGCAAGAGGTTTGTGTTCAGAAATTTAACGAGTTATCACAGCATCAAATGGTCTGGGTTGACGAAGATGGTTTCCTCTTGAGACCACTAGATCCTTGAAGGTTAATGAAAAAGTACTACTTGAGATTTAACACCATGAAACAGATAATGCGGACCCCTAAAAATTGCAGTTTAGAAGATGCTGTTCGTGTTGTATGCTTTGCCGAAGAAATTGCATGGATACAACTCAGACACAATGAAAAGAAGCTCTTAAATGATATCAATGCAGACAAAGATGGACGGCTTCGTTTTGACATTCTTGGAGATAAAGGAAAAAAGAAAAAGCGCATTCAAACAAGAGAAGAGAAGATATTTATTTTAGCAAATGGCTGCTTCACTGGTGATCCTTCAGTGCATGACCTATCTCTAATTCAGGACATAAATTCTATATGTTCAAATGGGTGTAGAATTGCAAAATTCATGAAAGACTATTTTGTCTATAAAAAAAATTTCAAAGGAGCTGCGAGTTCAGCCCTTCTAGCCAAATCATTTAACCAGAAACTTTGGGATGATAATCCATACCTTTTAAAACAGTTGCCTGGAATTGGGATGGTTACAGCAAAGGCACTGCATTCAATGGGAGTTAAATCATTTGAAGCACTCGCTGGAGCTGATCCGAGGAAAATAGAGATAGTGACTGGTCGAAAATACCCATTTGGTAACCATATTAAAGATTCTCTCTTAACAATACTAGTTTCTATAATTATGTTAAAAAAAATAATTATGTTACCTTATAGTTTATCTTACCTTATGGCTGTGAAAATTAAATACAGGATAAGAAACAGCCACCATACTAGTTTCTAACAATTAGATTAACAAGACAATTTGGAGATAAATTGAAAATGTGTTGGTTCACAGATTGTAAAATTTGAAACAGACACCAGGGGTGGATTAACTACTGCCCATCTGAAGTACAAAGCACTTCCTGTGCCAGGGAATCCAGAAAAACTGTTCTATCAACAATCCAAGTAATGATACAAAAATGGCACTCGATAAACTATCACTTATGTATTAATTATGACACTTAAAACTTTTGTTGATATACACCTTATTTCAGGAAACCCTCCTATTTTCTGACATACTGCCATAGTCCATGAGTCAATCCATATGATTGTGGAACCCAGGGAGCAGTGAAGTGATAAATCCAAAAACAATCATCTTGATCTCCTTTACAATTCCCCACCACTAGTTGCCATCATTGCCTCTGTCAGCTTCTGCACCGTTATCATTCTCAATTGCACGGTCAGTTTCGTTAGCAGGCTGGTTCCCAACGGCAGCTTCAGGTTGACCCTCTGCTGGAGCAGCATTGTCACCCTCCAACCTTGCAGGAGGTACATTTTCAACCCTGGCCACAGTTCTTGGTGGACGAGGAGGTGTTGCAGCTCTTTGCATATTTTGTGAAAGCCATCTTATAATTGGTGTCATAATTGGTGTCAGAGCTCCAGTTTGGTATAAATATACAAGAACAGCAAATAAAACAAGAACAATAAGCCTCTGCCTTGATCCATCTTGGTTGAACAAAAAGATCACAGCTGCCAGCTTCAACATCAGTAGCAAATCAATTTGAAATCTCCTAACAATAACTTGTCTCTGAGGTGCAGCTTGTTGCTGCTGAGGATGTTGTGCTGCTTGCCCCTGATTTTCACCGGCAGCAGCAGCTTCAAAACTGGGCGTGGGTGTGTGGTATGTCAACGGAATCAGAGTGGTGTATGGAAGTCCGGTAACATGTCTTTCAAAAGGATTAACAAGAACAACATATATGCCATAAGGTAAGATAAACTATAATTATGTTAGGAATATGTTCTGAAAAAAATTGGACATTCTTCTAACCATTTTAGTAACTGTAAGCTTCAAATTAAGCAGAACAGTCATAAAATCAAAAGCATTTCCCTCCTCTTTTTTAGGAGTTTCTACAGTTTCAGAACCAGCAACAGCAGCATAAGCAGCATCATTTGATGACTCTACAAGACAATAAGCAACAGCAACATAAGCAGCTAGCTGTGATTCAAAGAAACTAGTGACAACAGGGTTTTTCATGACAGCACTCCATATATTAGGGTCACAAGCAGCATAAGCATCAATGCTTAGGCTTGGCGGCCATGTTGTTGATGCTGCTGTGGCTGCTGTGTTATGTGTTGGTGTTTTTTTTCAGGCTTCGAGTGGCATAGGAGGTGGCTATTTCATGGTTGTGAAATCGTCTTCTAGCTCTAATGCTCAAGCTTTTGACATGCGAGAAACTGCTCCTATTGCTGCCTCACAGGTTTGAGATTAACTGTTTCTACGAAATTCGTGATTGAAATCTACAAAAATGAAACTTATATTTGTGTAAACTGTAAAAGCAGAACATGTATCAGGGAAATCTCAAAGCAAAGGTCTTAGGTGCCTTGTCAATGGGAGTTCCTGGTGAGTTAGCTGGCCTTCATGCAGCATGGTTGAAATACGGAAGATTGCCATGGAAGACCTTATTCCAACCAGCTATAGAACTTGCGAAAAATGGTTTCGTAGTGTCTCCTACTCTCAGCAATTACATAGCTACATCTGAAAATAAGATAATGAGTGATCCCGGGTTAAGAAATATATACGCACCTAATGGAATTTTGTTAAAAGGAGGTGAAATATGTAGAAACGTGGAACTTGGACAAACTTTAGAGATAGTGGCAGAGGAAGGGATACAAACTTTCTACAATGGAACCATTGGTGAGAAGTTAGTAAAGGATGTTAGAGAAGTTGGTGGCATTTTAACAATGGAGGATTTATGAAATTACAAGGTGGAAATAACAGATGCAATGGTTGTGAATGTGATGGGATACACCATATATGGAATGCCACCTCCTTCAAGTGGAACACTTGCTCTTTCTCTGGTTTGTACATTAACACCTCTCGTGTACTTTATCATATTTCTATGTTGTTAGGTAGAAATCACAACCTATCCTTTCTAAAATAATGACCATGCATTGAAAATATAAAATGGAAGTTTTATACAAAAACCTGATACAATTGTATGCTTGTATGTTCTAATAGTTAGTACGAACAGGTACTAAACATCTTGGATAGTTATGGAAGTCTTGATGCTGCAAAGGGAAATTTGGGTATACATAGAGTAATAGAAGCTTTGAAACATATGTTTGTTATTCGAATGAATTTGGGGGACCCGAGCTTTGAAAATGTTAGTGAAACTGTATCCGAGATGCTTTCCCCAGCTTTTGCACAAACTATTCAGCGTCGGATACTTGATAACACTACTTTCCCTCCAGAGTACTATATGGAAAGGTTTGGTTTGAATTTGAATGAAAACTTTAAAACTCTACCTTTAGCATGATCTGTTGCAAACCAACTAAGTTGCTAATATAAAGCGTATATACATTGCATGCAGGTGGAGTCAACTTAACGATCATGGAACAAGCCATTTGTGTGTTGTAGATGCCGATAGAAACACTGTGTCACTGACTACAACTGTAAACAAAGAGTTTGGAGCTGGGATTCGTTCAACGTCAACTGGTATTGTGATCAATGATGAAATGGATGATTTCTCTATACCGACTGATATATCCCCCGGTAAACTACCTCCAGCACCAACAAATTTTATTAAACCAAACAAAAGGCCGTTGTCTTCCATGACTCCTATTATCATCACAAAGGTATTGCTTACAGCACAAGAATGGTCACTAGATTAATGTGATAATCAAATTACACATGAAACTTTCTATTGTTATGCTTTGGTAGGATGGCCAATTGGTTGGGGTAATTGGAGGAAGCGGTGGAAGGCGAATTATTCCAGCAGTGACTCAAGTCTTTCTCAATCATTTCATCTTAGGAATTAAACCTTTAGATGGAGTTCTGAGACCAAGGATCTATACTAAGGTTCTAATTTCTCTGTATTCAAATAGTTTCTTTATGTATGATGCTCCTAACTACTATCTAATTGTGAGTTTTATCTCATGTAGTTATTACCGGATACAGTTTTGTATGACAACTTGACTGCGTATAATTAATCATCTAATTAATCCCAGTCAGACAAATCGACGGACACCGTCGTATGTAGTGGCTTCACATCAGACCAAGAAAGCCGTTATTTCTTTCGCCAAAGAGGTTTCATAGATTAATCGAGGTTCTTTTTCTCGAGATATTAAGATTCTATTACTACTATGAGAGTTGTTTCTTGAGATATCATTTTTGTCGCAATCAGAAGAAATTGGTTGCTCTCGCATATGATTCTCAAAAGAGCAACATAGATTAAATGATGAAATGAATTAAGGAAGTTGTATGAATTTGTAAAGACTATTTTGGCTTGTGAATTACAACAGTGTGATGTAGTTGAAATCAATGATTCTCACTCTACCATTTTTCTATCTCTGCACTAATTTGGCTACTATGAACAATTATATCTTTCTCAAAATATTCTATAGAAGATCTAGTCTAAAATCACACAACCCGATATTTCGATTTAAATTACTAGTATGAAGCATGTTCTGAATTATAAACAATGTATCAAAAATTAAGCTACAAGTTTAAACTCCTAAACAAGCAAAAGACTCCAAATCAAACAACAAGCACAATAGAGAAAGTAACCGCCGCAGCCAGACACGATCACCGGAAACAAAACCGAGTCTGATACGAACTCAGGACAAAACCATTGAATTAACAAAATACAAGGTTTCAAACCAGGATCCGATTCAAGGTTTGAAAAGTAATTTAGGGTTTGAGAAGACAAACCTGTTAAGATTCGAATTGACGGTGATTCGCAATGACGGCGTGAGTGGCTGAGAAAAAATTTTGTGCCCCTCTTTGTCCAAGGGCATGAACGGAGATTTCTAAAGAAGATGAGAAAAATAAGTTCAATTTTAGCGAGAAAAAGATGAAATTTTGGAAGAAACTGATGGATATCACAATCGAAATAGTACAGTTTTATTTTAATTAATTTTTTATATTTCTCTTTAATTTTATACTACTCTGAATATATATAATCTAATTTTATGTTTAATTTTTACTATAAAAATTATTTTTAAAATTTTGAGTTTATAAAATTTTGATATATGTTTTAATTTTAATAATTTAATTTTGAATATAATATTTTGAATTTAATTTTTATTATAAAAATTGCTTTTAAAATTAAATTTTTATTTTAAGTATATATAATATGTTAATTTTTATGTATTTTAAGTTTAATTTATAACTATTAAGCTACATTGTCATGAAAATTATAATAATTATAATAATTATTTATTAAATTAATTAATAAAATTGAAAAGGTTAGAAAATAAAAATGAAGAAAAAAGTGGAAAATTAAAGGAATAAAAAAAATAGTGATTATGATTGACTAAAGTAATTGCGACAGTTCGCCTTAACTGTCGCGAGTGCGGAAAGAGGGCGGTTCTTTGTAACTGTCGCATTATTTTATATAACATGCCTAAATAATTTGCAACAGTTGGCTCAAACCGTCGTGAAAACTATCATAATCCAGGAATAAGGACGGTTTTTTTGATAACTGTCGTAAAAAATCTACGACAGTTGATCCTAACTGTCGTGACAACCGTCACAATCCAGGAATAAGGACGGTTTTGTGATAACTGTCGCAACTCAAGTGTCGTAAATCTTCTTTTTTCTTGTAGTGATTTTATCTTTCAATTCAAGTAATTGTTTTTAACTATTTCAAAAACAGCCAAAAGCGCTTTGTATAGTTCATTAGGAGTTTTTAGATTAAAAAGAAAAGAGATTTTAAAACGATTTTCGGACGCGTTATGAGATTTAGAGTCTGGTTCATAAGAACCTCTTTTTGCTAAGAAGTCCAGGTTAAAATACTTTTCAACTTTGTTAAGAAACTATATTTCTTAAAAATAGGTTTACTACTCTAACGCAGTACGCACCTTTTTATCCGTGACAATAGGAGGGGTTGATTAGAGAGTACAACTCGGTTCTGAATACGCGAAAGCGACAGTTCCTGTTAAATTAGTTCTTTTCAAAGGAGAAAACATTGCCCATAAGTAGTTCCATTAACAAGTACTGGATTATCATTGATTACGTGAATTACATTCGAGCCTGTCTTTTATTTATTATTTAAAATTATAATTTTATTTACCATTGCATCCTTACTAAAACCCTTAAAAATAGTTGCCTTAGATAAACACCATAACAACAGGTACGATAGATTGACACTTGGTCTCTGTGGATTCGATAATCTTTTATATTACTTTGACGTGATTCGTACACTTGCGAAAAACACGCATCAAGTTTTTGCAAAAACTTGATGCGTGTTTTTCGCAAGTGTACGAATCACGTCAAAGTAATATAAAAGATTATCGAATCCACAGAGACCAAGTGTCAATCTATCGTACCTGTTGTTATGGTGTTTATCTAAGGCATCTATTTTTAAGGGTTTTAGTAAGGGTGCAATGGTAAATAAAATTATAATTTTAAATAATAAATAAAAGACAGGCTCGAATGTAATTCACGTAATCAATGATAATCCAGTACTTGTTAATGGAACTACTTATGGGCAATGTTTTCTCCTTTGAAAAGAACTAATTTAACAGGAACTGTCGCTTTCGCGTATTCAGAACCGAGTTGTACTCTCTAATCAACCCCTCCTATTGTCACGGATAAAAAGGTGCGTACTGCGTTAGAGTAGTAAACCTATTTTTAAGAAATATAGTTTCTTAACAAAGTTGAAAAGTATTTTAACCTGGACTTCTTAGCAAAAAGAGGTTCTTATGAACCAGACTCTAAATCTCATAACGCGTCCGAAAATCGTTTTAAAATCTCTTTTCTTTTTAATCTAAAAACTCCTAATGAACTATACAAAGCGCTTTTGGCTGTTTTTGAAATAGTTAAAAACAATTACTTGAATTGAAAGATAAAATAGCCCTTAGGTGTTTCCACGAACAATTATACTGATTACTGGTTTAATTACGATCCTTACATTCTAACCTTTAGGGGATTAGTTAGACATGATAAAGTAAATATTCTTTTTATAGTTTTTCATATGAGTAATTTAAAGCGAGTGCGGGAAGTAAACAAAGTAAATGTGCGAGTGCGGGAAATAAACAACGTTAATGTGCGAGTGCGGGAAATAAACAACGTAAATGTGCGAGTGCGGGAAATAAACAACGTAAATGTGCGAGTGCGGGAAATAAACAACGTAAATGTGCGAGTGCGGGAAATAAACAAAGTAAAGTGCGAGAAAATAAATAAAAGTAAAGCAATGCGGAAAAATAAAATACTAACTGGAATTAAAATGGCGGCAGGATTAACTTCCTCCAGAGTGCTCCAAAACTCGAACCACAGACAGATTACAGACTCGATCACTCGATTGCAGAGGCACCCCGATGTGGAATGGCAACTGCTTTATAACTGATATATGCCTAGAGAATTCTAATTCTGGATGCAGAAAAACGAAAATCTAAGGTCCTATTTATAGGAGAAACTGGAAGCGCGAAATGACCGGGACGCCCCTCCACTAAAAAGTGGAGGTTGAGGATTTTTTTGCCTTGTGGCGCCCGCCACAGGCCTATGGCGCCCGCCACGGTCCCTACATGGGATGATGTAGTGGGGATCGTGGGTCTTGGAGGTTGAGGAGTGGTCTTGAGACGTGGCCACGTCATGGCTAACCCCATGGCGCCCGCCACAGTGGGTGCCGTAAGTGCAAAATGCTGAATTTCTAGGTTTTCGTCCGTTTTCACTCCTTTTTCGCTCCTTTTCCCGATTCCAGCTCCGATTATTATAAAAACCTGAAAACATAAGAAAACAAAGCAATAACAAATCAAAACAACAATAAAAGCTAAGAATGCATGCGAAATCGGAGTCAGAAATACGGTGAATTTTAGTGTGATCAAATTCTCCCACACTTAAACCTTTGCTTGTCCTCAAGCAAACATTAAAGCTTAAGAAAATATGGTGTCAACACTTGTCTTTGGGCTAAAGGGATTCTAAGTTCAAGTCAGGATGCAGTGACAGATACTAACTAAGTGAACCAAGGGTACCATAGTAACACAAACACAAACTTCAATCCTATATTAACCACTCCATGTCATCCCACGATACCTAGGCCTATCTTCTCATCTTTTTGTGTCCTTTTCATTCAGGCGCAATCACATTAAGCCCGTTATCCGTACATGCTTCATAGTAGAGTGACCGGTTAGTGATTCTGATCCATGACATAAGGTTTCTGGCACATAAGCATGTGTAAACCTGTTTTTATTTCGCCTAAATGTAGCTGCGGGGGATCGGATCGTAATCCGCCCTACCAAGTTCAGTGCCAGATACCTCTGAACCAACTAACAATAGGTGACTTGCAATTTTTTTTCTTTTTGTGGCAAAAAAAAAATTTTTTTCTTCTCTTTTTTTTCGGTTTAAATGACTTTGTGAGGGTCACCTATACCAGAGTTTGCCTTTTTTTTCTTTTTTTATTAGCACTGGATCATTCACTTATATTCATCGGCCCCCTACGTAGAGTATGCTTAGGCCGGAGCTGATTGCTAAAATAAACTACTTAGGACAATTTTTGAATGATAGTAAAGGCCATGGTGGTGGGGTTTAGGAGTGATTCCTATATTCAAGAGGTCTATGGTGCTAAAATGGTTCTGATGTTTCAAAAAGTTGACCTAAGTCACCACATCCTAATCTAAACCTGTCTCAAAGCCCAAAAAACATGTGAAACAACATTGTTTTCTTTTTAAAAATTTTCTGGTAAGGCTAAGGAAATGGGAAAAAATGAAGATGAACTAAAAAGACACTATACTGGTGACTCGTCAGACTCATGCATTATCTAAGAAAAATAAATTACTGAAAAGGGAAATAACTGAAAGGAAATTAACTAAAAAGGGAAATAACAGAAAGCAATAAAATCCCCTCCCACACTTAAATCGAACATTGTCCCCAATGTTTCGAAATAAGATAAGGGGGGTAACCTGGAAAAAGACTACTGAGGAGGGGCACTGGTGCCTTCGCCGTCCTGATGTGATGGTCTGGAACGACGGGATCTACTACGATGCTGGTC